TTCTGGATGCAGCTAAAGTCAGGCTGGTTTTTATCAGGAAGCTGCCTTTAGACCCTCATTTAAATTCTCCGAGAGTCAGTCCACCCAGACCCTTTTCAGGGTTCTCTAGACTAGAAGAGCCACTCCCTAGAACAATCTTAAAATGCAGTGACACTTTACAGGAAGGAGAACACAATCAGGAGGCTCCCGGGCAGCTCCTGAGGGCTTTGTCAGCTCCGAATCCTGTGGACTCAGGGGTTCTGGGCCTGGATCAGGCTCCACTGCACAGAAGAGCTGCAGTCCCCAGACTCATGGCCTCTCCCCTTCACTCCAGGCATATTCCTAGGCTGCCGCCCTTCACACTTACATAGGCATCTCACCTTCCCTGTCCTGTAGGGTCAAGTAGAGTCCACCTGGCATTAGCCTCAGCATCAGGGAAGGCAAGAGCGTTTGCCCTGTGCATGGAGCAGTGGGCAGAGATCCAAAGGGATCCAGGAGGAGTCAGAAGCAGCAGATGGAGGGAAGGCGTCCTGGCCATGGGGACACCTGTGAGCTGTGGGTGGACAACAGGAGAACCCAGAGCCACGTTCACTTTGACCTGAGAGGTTCACAAAAGGTGCCAATACTAAGTGTCACCCCGTGAGTTACAAGGCAGGAGGAAACATCTGCAGACCAGGCATCATTTTGGAAGTTACTTCTGCTATCCTTTCCTGTTGGTGCCATTGATACTCATTGATTTATAGTTGACTTAAGGATATTTTCTAATTCAAGAAGTATTTAACCCAAAGACAGTTTATTTATTTTGAACCTACAAAAGTAAAAGTGAATCTTGCTCTAATTCTGCTTCTTTTTTTTTTAGATATTGAAACAGGAATGAGCTACACGACGCCGGTTTGCTATCCTGTCTGAAGGTTGAAGTGCTGGCAGTTATTTCCAAAATGACTGTGTTCCATACTATTCTCAATGGACTCGTTTTAAGATGAATCATGCATTTTTCTAGCAGATGCAACAGAGTTTTATTCAGTTTTAGTGTAGCTTATTGTCGTAAATTTGGTACCAGCGCTTCAGGAGTGGAGACCTGTTCTCTAGTTGACGTGGAAGAGTGGCTTGGGGATGGTCAATGATCAGTCAGAGCCATTGGAATTTACCCAGGGGTGAGCCAGGAAGGCGGGGTGCCTCCCCTCCTCCCATTGCCTTGGCGGTGGGTGGCCAGTGCTGGAACGTGCCTCTCTCCTTCTCAGCTTCTTGGCAGTTTAGCACCAAGCTCTTGAGACAGCTCAGTGTTGAAATCAAGTCAGAAGGGTGACCCTGACTGCAGAAAACCCGCAGCGCCCCTCTCTCCTGTGGCTAAGAAGGTGGCACCGCCAGCTGCCCTCGGTGAGGATGAGAGTCCAGTTTCTGTGAAAGCGCGTCAGGACCTTGTTGAAGATGATGACTCATCATTTCACCTGGCTATCTCCAGCTCCAAGTAAAGGCAGAGAATTGATTCCATATACTTTAAGAAAATTGCTCTTTGAAGACAGAAGGAATGGGGCCTACACAACCCTGGGTTACTGCCCACTAAGGGGTGGGCACAGGTGGGAAGGTGTTGAGAAGGGGGGTGACCCAGCCCTGGCCTTTCAGGATGACATCACTCGAGCTTCACGTCTTCCAAAGGAAGCAAGCAGCCCCCTCCTCAAGCCAGGGCTTGCTCGTCCTGCAGTAGGAGCTCCCGTTCCATTTGGCTACCGTTTCGTTACAGGTAAGCCGGTGGGTAGAGAGAAATGAGACACAGCGTGTGATAGTGGCACATACGGTGAGCAGCCAATTGAGAACTGCCTAGGAATCATCTGCTCTTTAAAAGTCAGCTTCAAACTGCTTCACACGCTTACAGGAGATGCCGGGCTTGGCTTTGGCTGAGGAAGTCAGCACTGGATGTCCTGTGAAGTTTGTCCTGTGCCACGACGGTTAACCAAGGAAAGTGCAGAGGGGACCCTTGATCTGAGCCTCTTGGTTCCACATCATGGCTCCTCATCATCTTCAGAGATGACGCCGGAGCTCAGAGAAGGCATGTGGCGATGACTTGATGCCGTGGGGCCATGTCCCTCACTGTGGCTCCCAAGGACACGGCAAGGGGCCCAGTTCTGTGAGTTCCCATTGCCTGCTGTGTATTTGGAGTAGTTTTATTTTATTACTGGATTTCCTCCAACGCCGACTTCAACCCTTGGTACCTGTGCAGCAAGTCATGGGCCTCACTTTCTCACAAATTTCATTTGAAAAGTACCGTCTGCATCAGTCCTGGGGAAGCACGAGACATGGCCTGTCCTCTGCTCATCTGAATAAGGAGGCCCTTCTGGTTGCACCGTGGGGGTGCTGGCGTCTTGCTGGTTCCTTGGACACACCATATGGTATTTCAGTCTGTGATGTTACTTTTATGGTTATTCAGAATCTTGTAGACATGAGCCACCCACATTTCTAGTGGCCGTCACCTTTGTCTTTTCTGCTCATCACCTGCTGGTCCTGAACTCTCCCCGAGCGCCGTTCAGGTCAGCTCTCTGTCTCAGACTGCCGCTGGCTGACACCTGAGAGATGCGTTGTTTCCAGGAACGAGCTCACAACACTGACTGTGGCAACCTGGGCAGGAGCTCCTCCCCTCCCGCACTGGATTAGTGATGCACGTTCTGGAACCTTCTGGAACCCATCAGTGGGCCCCATCTCACCAGCTCGTGCCTGCTCCACCCTCACATCTGAGGAAATGAGCACACTTACAAGGTAGAACCAGGTATTAGAACAGCAGTGAAAATGTGCGCACTCACTGTTCTAGGTGAACAGACTCCATATTGCAAACCTATTCACTCAAACTTTTTTTGTGAAGAGTGGTTCTGAGTCTGACCAACAGTCCCACAATCTTCCTTGAACAGCATTCCTCCAATTTCATGTGTCAATGCTTTTGAGAACAAAAGTAAGAAAATTCTAATTATGTGTATGTGAGTTGCATTAGAATTCTCTACTTTGGGCTGGGGATGTGGCTCAAGCGGTAATGTGCTCACCTAGCATGCGCGGGGCATTGGGTTCCATCCTCAGCACCACGTAAAAATAAAATAAAGATGTTGTGTCCACCGAAAACTGAAAAATAAATATTTAAAAAATTCTTTCTCTCTCTCCTCTCTCTTTCTCTTTCTCTCTCTCTCTCTTTAAAAAAAATTCTGTACTTATATTTTATGTATATAGTTTATCTCATTCAATCAATGTGAGCTCTTTGAAATTAATACTACTGTTTAGGGAACAATTTAATGGCATTTTTCTTATGTAGCCTCATCGTCCCCTGTCTCCCAGATGTGCTAAAGTCTGTTGCTGGATTGCTACATGTTCAACTTTAAGAAGTGCATGTATCAGGGCCAGACTGCTCATGGGTTCCTGAATATACCCTGGAAAGTGTCCTGTGTCATTTTCATATCATAGGTCTCCTGAGTGGAGGATAGGACAATAGGGTGACACTAGGCTTTGTAGTGACTCTGGGATGTCACCAGGAGTGTCGAGAATTTGGTATAAAGGCCTGCTGAGTAATGACACCAACACCCCAATCCATTCTTCCTTGAACACAACTGTATTTTAAGTGAACTGCTGAGTAATTGGTTATCATGACCAGAAATCACTCTATATAGTAAGAACCATATGTGTGTAATCATGATCCCATTAGGAAAAAATTATATATGCATACACATATGCATATATGTAGGCATAAATATGCAGTTTATATAATATACTTATACATGATTTTCCACTGACTAATAATTTGAGGGACAAAATTAAAAACAAAACTCCAAACCATGTTGAGCTAATGGTGCACATTATAGTGACTGAACCACTCGATATAAATTCCAAGAGATGAAAGTTGGAATTTTCTTGAAGACTCCCAATAGCAGTTTCAGTTCCCGTCAGCTCAGAAGTGAGCCGGATGAAGTACATCCAGACACGTTTCCTTTTTGGTGACTTGTTCATGCAGCTTCCTCTTGCAATTCGAGGTGTCTGTATGGTAGAACGTGCATGGTCTCGCGTGATGCGTTAACATTCCGAGGACTTAGGGAGTGTCCACTTGGCGGGGAGAGAGAGATCCAGTGAGATCCAGTGAGCCCTGCACTGCCCTCAGCGTCCCAGGGACAGGCTGGGTGATTAGGCTGTGGGGTGAACGCAGAGCAGAAGTGGGGTCCGAGGGGAAGGGGGTTGAGGGCCTTCATGGACAGGAGCACTGGGGTGGGCTGAGGGGCGTGTGTGGGGAAGAGCTATATCACAGAGTGTGTGGCTGGAGAAGCCAAGAGTGGGCCACAGGACCCGGAGAAACGAGGCGTGTGTGAGCCAGGGCAAGGGAAGGGCTGCCCCAGAGCCCAGGGTACAAACAGGTCTTTAGGTACAACCAGAGTGGGGGAAATTGTTAAAGTGGGAAAATGGGATTTTCTTAGGTAGCGATTCTGGTGCTAAGGGATGAGGTGCAGGTGCGATTGGTGGCCCAGGGCAGAGTCCCAGAGTAGAGCAGCCTGGTGACTTGAGGAGGTTCCACGGCAATGCCTAGGAGAGCTGGGACATCGCCACGTGGCATGGACGTCCCAGGAGGAGTGAGGAAGAGTTGCTGCACCATTGCCCGATTTATTCCCTGGGAGCCACAGAAAGAGCTCTGCTCCTGTTTCCAGGATGGGGAGGGAGGCCCAGGAAGGAGGCCGCAGCCTGCGCTGAGCTCCGCCATTTAGAAAGGAGCCCCGTGGGTGAGCGCGAGGGGCTCCAGGAGCTTCCTGTAGGCAGAGTCAGCAGGTCTCAGAGACAGAGGCGACTCGGGAAGGGAGAGGACGGGGTGGCTGTCAGGACTCCCAGGGAAGCAGGTTTTCTTGGTTCCCACTCCAGGCAGACACATGGGGATGCACAGAAAGGGGGTGGCAGCACAAGGATCACCCTTCTGTAGGGGACAGTGCAAGAGGGACTTTATAATTCTGTTATTCTCAGGAAAAGTATAATTCCGACTTCTGAATTCTTTTCAAGAAACTGCCAGTTTTATTTTTCTGATTTATGGGTGATGGTCCAAAAGGCTCCCTATCTGTGACAGAGCAGGTGGCCTGTCCTCCCAGGTCCTGGAGGTGACACCTGGGTTATACCTGGCTATGCTCTACATATAGAGTTGGGTGTTCTCTATGTCATTTCTCCTAAAGTGTCCAAAATGTTAAGTTGTTTCTCCAAGAAGATTTGAAAACAAGTTGAGAGACCTTCTTCCTGTTTTATACGAGAAAACTTGTATAAAATTTGGGAATGTTTCCATATTGCACCGTGTGTCAGCACCAGGAGGCGTTTCTGTTGTTTGTAGTCACTTTGCTTTTAAATGAAGTGGTTGCCTTTAACCATAAATCATAACAGATTTAAGACAATTAGTCTTAAATAATCAAACCTGGTATTTTCTATAATTAGAAACTCAATTCATTAATTGTAAGTTACTGTGCACTTTGAACTCTTGATTAATTAAAGAACCAAGTTCCTACATGAGAATTTAAGTATCTCGCCTTTTTCCCACTTTGGTGAATGAGTCAAGCTCTGGAAACAGCTTCATTGTATTCATTTAGCATTTCAAATATCATTGACTGCTAAAAAAATTAGTCCACCTGTGCTCTGAATATATCCAAACAGCCGTTGTTATTTTCCTATTATATAAAGAGTAATTGTAAAGTATTCATACCTGGCCTTCCTGACTTCCTCCCCTCCTTCCTACTCCCTCTGTTTTT